GAATTGCTTTTGTTATTTTATTGTTATTACTCATAAATGATGGTAGTTGTTATATAGGAGAAATAAAAAGGCTACAAAGACATGAAACAATAAGTAGTAAACAGCAAAAGACAAAAGATAATGAAAGCTAAGTTGTGAATTTGAGACTTTGAAGCCTTTTCAAAGAGCCGAATGAGCTGGAATAAGCTGATATATACTTAATAAGTTGTAAAATATACAGTTGTATCTCTTTATCATAATACCTTACTTTTGAGTTTCAGTGTCAGTGTAGTTATACACATGTAGCTGAGACTATTGATGCCTTACACCTTTCTGTGTATATATCCCTATAGATTGCAAATCATTCATCATTTACTCAACAAATCTTTATTGAGTACCTATTGATTCCCAAGCACTGGGCATGTACTGGTGAACAAATAATAATAAGAAAAAAACCCCAACTCTTTATGGCGCTTATATTCTAGTGCAGGGCTCCCCAACCCCCAGGCTGTGGAACAACCCTGGTCCATAGTCTGTTAGGAACTGGGCCTTATAGCAGAAGGTGAGCTGCAGGAAAGCAGAGATTCGTCTTCTGTCAGATCAGCGGTAGCATTAGATTCTCATAGGTACATGAACCCTATTGTGAACTGCACGTGTGAGGGATCTAGGTTGCACACGCTCCTTATGTGAATCTAATGCCTGATGATCTTCCTTCGCCCCCCCCCGCCCCCCCGGTCTGTGGAAAAACTGCCTTCCATGAAACTGCTTCCTGATGCCAAAAAGGTTGTGGGGACGGCTGTTCTTGTGAATGAAGCAAACAATAAACAAAATACATTAAGAAAATATATAGTTCACGAAATAATGACAAGAACTAATGGGACAAGGAAACAAAGAAATCGGTAAGAAAGTGTCAAGGGGCAGAGTGATATTTTAACAAGAGAGTGAGAATTAAGCCATGTGGCTCTATAGGGGTAGAATTAGAGCATTTCAGGCCTAGGGAAAACAAGTGCAAAAGCCCTGAGTCAGGATTGAGCAAAGTGAACATTATGACTGGAGCAGTAAGAGGTTGGAGAGGATGGATGATCAGAACAGTTTGGCCTTTAAGTTTTAGTAAGGACTTTGACTTTTGCTTGAAGGGAGATGGGAAGCCGTTGGAAATTGTGGAGCAGAGGAGTGTCATGATCTGAGCTTCATTTAAACAGGGTTGCTGTGGCTACAGTGTTGAGAATAGATTATGGGGATGAGGGCAGAAGTAGAGAGGTCAGGTAGGACAACTGAGATAAGATATGATGGTAGCTTAGACTAGATGGAAACAGAGGAGGTATGGTGAATTCTTGATATACCACTATATTTACTAGAACTCCGTAGCACTTGTTTCCTGGGTATTGAATTCCTACTTAGTATACTGTATTCATTCTTACATTATAGGTTGTAGCTACAAATGATGATCCTTAAGTTATATTTAAGAAGTGATTTATACATTTGTAACATACTGAATATTTCTGTAGTGCTGGCAGTTTTTCTCACATCATAGTCTTTTTACTATGACGTCTTTCAAGATATCTCTTGTGTTTTAAAATATATATTTTTGTTCTGTGTTTATCTTCTAAGTTCATACTAAATGTACTTTTTGTTTTGAATAACATTTTAACTTACTATGCTTTTATATATGTTAGCTATGGTTCTTGAAAATAAAGGACTTGAAGTTAGGGTTTTAAGAGGATCCTCTTTTTCTGAATTTTCTTCTACATTTAAATGATTATGAAAATGATATGTCGTGTTAAAGGAGCAAGATCAACTTTTTATTTTATTTTATTACTTTTGTAAGCTTCATATTCGTTTTTCATCATATTATCAATTTGATAATATAAGAATATTTCCAAACTGACTTATATTACATCACACTCACCTTATTCCAGGAAAGTTTTTAGGCAGCTCATGAAACTCTTGTCTTTACAGCTTTAAGAATGTTTTTCACTCTACAACAGCATGGCATTCCTGATTACCACACAGATGTGTAGAATGGGTACATTTGGACCCTTGTCAGTCATTCTACAATACCTCAATAATTAGTGGTCATTTTATGACCAGTATGAGGTGTGGTATCCTGTACTATCTCATTTCATGCTTCAAATTTTACATGTTTTATATAGAAAATGTAGAAAAGCAAGTAGAAATCACATTGCCTAGAAATAACTGATCTTTTAATATTCTGGTGCTTATCCTTCTCAATGCACATAAGGAAATTTATAGTGTATATATTGAAAAAAATCACAGTATACAAATTTCAATAAACTTTTTTGTTTCACTTAGCAGTATACTGTGAACTTTTACCTATAGTGTTTTTCAACCATGTGAATAATTTTCTGTCATTCTGTGATATATTTAGTCAACTTCATCATTTAAAATCTTAGTTCCAACAATATTCTCATATTAGAACATTAGTTCCAGTAATTAGGAATTAGTTCCGATAATTTACTATTGAAAATCACACTATGGTGAATATTGTGACTTAGTTCTTATTTGTATATATATTCAGTTGAGGCTATGTTTATCTATATTTCTATGTAATTATATGTTATAGGTATAAAATTATAGAAAATTAGAAATTGAAGAGATGAGAGTTTCTTTTTTTAGTGAAAGAAATTGAAGAAATTGAGAGTTATGCTGTCTGTCACATATTAAGTGCAAATGGCAGTTAAGAGATTAAGCTATGATGTGCTTAGTACAGTGCCTGATATATGATAATAGCTAATGTTTACTGAATGCTCACTAAGCACCAGACCCTGTTGTAAGCACTTTATATTTGTACTGTTAATCTTTACCACAACTGTATAAGGTAAGTACTATTAACTGATTATATTGATGAGACCGAAGTATTGAAAGGTTAAGTTTTTTTGCAGAGAGTTATACAGCTAATGACAAAACCAAGATTCAAACCCAAATAGTCTGTCTCCAGAGTTCATGCTATCACCACTCCCCTAAATAGCCACAGTGAGTACTAGTTAAGTGGTACTAGGCATCATCATCATTATTCCTGGTGTACAGCTGTATAATTCAGAGGTTGTTTTGGTTCCAGTATTTTTTGAATTTTAGGAAAATAATTCAGTACATGTACTTGATTACATAGTAATCCCATTGTGGTTCGCAGTAGCACCCCAGAAACAAATACACCTGTGTTCCTGCAGTGAGGCATGTTTGTTTTTACACTGAGATTAAGAAAGACTATTCATAGTCTGGTGTCAGTGCATGCTGCCAAATGAATTACAAAAACCTTTTTGTCTTTTAGAATTGCATATAAGGGATTGTGTAAAACTTTAAGCAGAGTTCCTGGCGTGTAGAACACATGCAGTTTGTATTGGTGGGTACTACTACTGCCACTGCTATTACTTGTAGTTATCATTAGATATTTATATACTCATACATATAGAAAACTGGTGAGTCATACAGTATGAGGAGTACTTTTCTCACTTTGTGACCGTAGGAAGGGGCGGTACATACATTTGGAGTCTTTCAGCTGTTCTTCCCTATATCAGGATAAGAGAGGGTGTAAGTGATAGCATTCTGTGTCTTTTCCCTGTTGTACATGTAGGGTTGTGTAGTTGAATGATCCTGTCCTTCTGTCCCTGTGCACTCATAATTGTCCGAGGTTTGATTTAGAGGCTACAGAGTAGCTCAACTGTGTTTTCACCCTTTCAGAGATTGTAGTGAAGCAGTGTTTCAAGTATTTCCTTGCTCTTTATTAGAGAGCCTGTTTCTTTAAGTATGAGCCAACTGGGAGAGCAATTTAACTGGTCTATTATTTCTCATATCTAGATATGACTAAAGACTAAAGTGATCACATTTGAAATTGAGATATTTTCTTTCTGACCATTTTAATTGATGAAAAACTGTAATCACAGTCATTATAACCATTTATGATAGTTATCAAGAAATGTTCGGTATTATACACTTATAATTATATGACCATATTACTTTTATTGCAGTTGGATCCAGATATAAATTATTAAATGAATTTGATATGCACATTTGCTATTCATTACTATAATTATTTTTAGATTTGACATTTGAGTTTAAGCCGGTTCTCCATTTTTGCAAATATCCCTTTGGACTATTTGAACATCTGCTTCATATAGTTTGTCCTCTCCCTCTGTATATTACAGTAGTATTTGTTTCCCTTTCCCTGCCTCCTGAAGCTGGAAACATCCTCACTGAACCTTTGTCTTCCTCTTTTGTAGGTTAGCCTTACCTGTATAGCAAATTCAGTGGGTGGGCTAGAAGGACTGTTAGAGATTGTCTAGTCAAATCGAAGCAAAGAGATAGTAAAAGAAATGTAATCAGTTTTTAAGGATGCAAATGAGATCTTATTTATTTGTATTTGACAATTTTTTATCCATAACTGAAATATAAAACAGAAATATCTGTTCCTTTTTGTTGGAAGAGATGTATGAAGTGTACAGTTTTTGTAAAACTATTAGTATTAATTGCTTTCTAGTTGTGTGTATGTACATGTATGTGTGTGTGGATTGGGGGTTCTTGTGGCATAGTGTGTTGTAAGAGTATGTGGTATGAAAAATAGGATCATTTTTAGTTTATTTCATATTGTTTGGTTCCTACAGAACATATTTGTTTTGGCAACATGCATTACCTGCAGCATCGTATTAGAATTTGGAATGCATTAATTAATAAGTTCTAGTTCTTTCATGTTTTACAATTTGGTCAGTTTTTTAGTAATAGTAGATGTGAAGTTTAAATTCCAGGGCAGAAAACTTGGAAAAGAGGCTATAATGTATAATCACCAACTCAAGTATTCGCAAATACAGTCATTGATTTGACATGTGTTCGCTAATATGACTTTCTCACTTGACAATATTATTTAATTTAGGATCTTAGAACTTGAAATGCATTGAAATAATTGTTAATTGGTATTTACTTTTTTTTACAGAGAGAAAAAAGGAAATGGATGGCTGAAAAAAGTACTAGTTATCTTTTAAAAGTTGTATTTGCTTTATATTTTCTAGGTTGCTGTAGTGAAATTAAAAAATGCAGATAAGGTATTTGCCATGAAAATATTGAATAAATGGGAAATGCTGAAAAGAGCTGAGGTAAGAGTTTTATGTAGTAGAATACTTAAATATTTTAGAAATGTTTTTATAGAGAACTATAAAATTATACAGAGCCAATAGATCATTAAATATTAAGTTAGTAACATTGTTTCTCTGGGGACTTTTTGAGGCATAAAATACGTATTCAATTCCCAGTTGTGATTTAATTATGATAAAAATTATAATTTATGTTGGTAATTTAATATTCGCTGGAAGCTATATGGAAATCCTTGTAATTGAGACTTATACAGCTATGTTAAAAGGATGTGTGCAAACCAATTTATTTTATAGAAATTAATTTTGTAATGGTTGATTTCCAGTTTCCTGTAAGTTGTTTATATTCTGTATTTATCTGTATTGTGCTACAAGCAAAAGTTAGCAGGTGTTTTGAATATATCTTCTTAGAATTCTGTTTATTGCTAATTATGCAGTCACTTTATGTTTTGTGTTATATTAGAGAAGTTTTAGTAAATCTAGTAGTGCAAGAATGATCAACATTTTTTATGCTGGTGCTAGATTTGAGGGAATGATAGGTTGGAGTAATGTTAAAAATATGACCTGGTCAGAAATGATGTCACACATAGATTTGAGGTGAGGTACTAGAGGTCCTCTCCTATGCTGTATTATAGTGAAGGACTGAATGGAATAGGCATTCTGGGGCCTCAGGGAAGCAGAACTTACAAGTGTGGAAGTATTTCAGTATTTTAACTGGTAAGCGGGTTGTACTGATGAATAGACTGAGTAATAGCCCTGGAGATTGGTAAAATGTAAAAGAGGATAATGAGAAATTAGCTCTTAGAAATCTTTCTTTATCTATCAGTACTTGTAGCAACTTAAAGATGAAGAGACATGAAGGAAGAAGCAAAAATTGTTCCTATGATGATAGATATGGTAGTACTACAAGTAAATACTTCATTATTCCTTTCTTTTGGGAAATGTGGAAAATATAGCAGAACATAAACAAGAGACTAATAATTAATTATGTTTTATCACCCAGAATTAATATCATTTGGCCAAATTTTTGCTTTCAGTCTTTTTAATATATGTGTCTACTAAAAAAGCAAACAAACAAAAACTCTCAGAAGGGAAAGACAAGTATATACTTTCTAAAACAAATAATAGAGGCTGGGCACGGTGGCTCTAGCATGTTTTTTGTTTTTTGTTTTTTTTTGAGTTGGAGTATCACTCTGTCGCCCAGACTGAAGTGCAGTGGCCGCTCCTGGCCACCGCAGCCTCACCTGCTGGGCTCCAGCGATTCTTCCACCTCAGCCTTCCAAGTAGCTAGAACTACAGGCGTGCGCTACTGCACTCAGCTGATTTTTTGATTTATTGTAGAGATGAGGTCTCACTGCCCAGGCGGGTCTTGAACCCGCGGGCTCAGGCAGTCCACTCCCCTCAGCCTCCCAAAGGCGTGGGATTACAGGCTGAGCCACCCAGCCCGGCGGCTCTAGCATGTAATCCCAGCACTTTAGGAGGTCGAGATGGGAGGATTGCTTGAGCCCAAGAATTCGAGACCAGCCTGGGCAACATTGTGGAACCTCGTCTCTACAAAAAAAATTTAAAAATTAGCCAGGCATGGTGGCATGCACCTGTAGTCCCAGCCATTTAGGATGCTGAGGTAGAAGGATCACCTGAGCCTAGGAGGTCATGGCTGGGAGACAGAGTAAAACCCTGACTCCAAACACGCACATACACACACAGACACACACACACACACACACACACACACACACACACACACACACACACACACACCCCGAAAAGCAAATAATAGCATATTTCAGATAAAGCTGAAAGTACTTTTTGACCACCACAACCCATGTTTGACCCCCTTTATCTTCCAGAGGTAATTACATATCATAACATCCTATTTTAAAAAGTATTTGGAAGCTTTTATGTCATTTGTCATGGGCATTCAACATCTTCAGTTTTTCTTTTGAATTTCCCTAAGACCGAATTGCCTTGCTGTCACTTGTTGGATTTACCATGAAGTAAACACCAAGGTTAAGTTTAGTGTGCAGGATATTTAAGGAAGTTCTTTTGAGATTGACACTTGTAAAAGGGAAGAGAGGGATATAGGGATTGTCAGGGAGAAGCTGCCCATCAGCCTCAGTTGATTCCACAGGGAGCCTGGAGCAGAAATAGCCCTACGGAGTTGTCCATTGGATCAGAATGGCTAGACCTTTATGCCTGTCTCTATCAGTCATTGGATATGGGCTGCCTCAGAAGGACATGGCATTGGACTGGTAGACTTTCTTCAGCTGAGCAAACCCTGAAGGGACCGATAGTATTCCCAGCAACTGGAAAAACAAAACTTATTATTACAAAATAGTAAATAATTATATTTTAACTATCAGAATTAATAGTCAGTTTAGTGTTTTAGAGTTAGAAATTTAAGAAAATTGAGTTAAAGTTTACTTATTTTTTAAAGTAAGTTTGATATACTAGGGAAGAATTGTGAAAAGGAAAAACAATTTTAATTTTACTATTGTTAATAGTTATTCTGGACTAACTTTCATTACTGACTAGAAGAAGGGGCAAGATTGAAAATAAAACAGGAATAGTTTAAAGTCAAATAGTATTTTGTTGAGTTAAAAAGTATTAATATATTCTGTTCCTGGGACAAGATGGAATACACTTCTCCCTGTTCTCCCATGAAGTACAGCTAAAAACTCTGGACATTATCTATAAAACAAACATAAGATTTTGAAAGGGAGAGAGAAGAAGATAACCAGCTAAGGATCTCCGGGACCCTAGAGTATAACACCTCTTTCAGATGTCAGGATTATGCTGCTGGAATCACCAGACAAGGACCATACAAAGAAAGTTAAAGATCTATATCCCTCATGAGTATAGATGAAAACATTAGAAAATCTTGTTGAGCAATATATGACAGTAATTATACACTATGACTAAGTAGGTGTTATGACTGGTTCAGTATTTGAAAGGTACTCTCCTCAGAGTATTTGAGAAATTTTTCATCTTTTAGGCAGTAATTCTTCATTGAAACTTTTATAGAAGAGTTCACTTTAAAATAGAATGGCAATGTATTTCTATATTTGAATAATCAGATCTTTTTAAAAAATATAAAACATTAAAAAAAAAAACCTCTCTGACCATGACTTATCCAACTTTGGAAAACTGGGCCTACCAGTAGTGCTTAATAAATTACACATGAGCAACAACATTTTTTATGTTTTAATTTATATATTGTTGATGCTTTAAAACAATGTTTTAGAGATTTGCCTCCAAGCTATTTGCCCTATTTCTGTTTCAAGGCATATGACAAATATATAATTAATGGGATATGGATTAGTTGAAGGTGCTAGGAAGTCTCTTTTTTTATACCTGGGCAGCCTAATAATTGTTAAATAGTTTCACAGTTTATATAGATTGATAGCTCTACATATTCATCACTTTTAGACTATACTGGTACATTAGTAATCCCTTAAATTAACTTCTCTCAATTCTGTATAATTTACTTCTTTCTTCAAATTTGTTCAGCTTGTACTGACTTCACTCACATAGGAGATGTCCTTACTGATTTTATAGGAAGACACAATTCTGTATAGTTTACAGATATGCTCTCTGTCTTGAGAGTTAAAACTTTCTTTTCTTTTCTTTTTTTTTTTTTTGAGTTGGGGGTCTTATGTTGCCCAAGCTGGAGTGCAGTGGTGTGATCACAGTTTACCACAGTCTCAACCACCTGGACTCAGGCTAACCTTCCACCTTAGCCATCTGAGCAGCTGAGACTACAGGCACATGCCACCATAATTGACTAATTTTTAATTATTTTATTCTTTTGTGGAAATGAAATCTCATTATGTTGCCCAGGCTGGTCTCCAAATCTTGGGTTCAAGCAATCCTTTCGCCTTTGCCTCCCAAAGTGCTGGGATTACAGGCGTGAGCTGCTGTGACTGGCCATTGAAAGTTAAACCTTTCTAAGGCTAGTTTTCTCATTTATCAAATGAAGATAATATAGTAAGCCCCCTACATATGAATGAGTTCTATTCCAAGAGCACGTTCATGAGTCCAGTTTGTTCGTAAGTCCAACAAAGTTAGCCTAGGTACCCAAATAACACAGTTGGCTACATAGCACTATACTGTAATAGGTTTATAAAGTTATTTCACACACAGTGCATAAAAAACAAACAAAAAACATTGTTACAATACCGTGCAAAGTACAGTAGTACAGTACAGGACAACAGCTGGTACACAGGGGCTGGCATCAAGTGAACAGACAAGAAGAGTTACTGACTGGAGGAGGCAGAAGAGATAGATGGGAAATAGTAGAGCTCAAGGATTGTTAGCAATAGGAGATGGAAGGCAAGCTGCAATTTCATTCAAGCCTGATGTTGATAGCACAGGTTGTGGTTCCTTGCTGGATTCAATTCTGTCTATACTCTTGAAAAACACACTTTTGCATCTTTGAAAGTTTACAACTTGAAGGTTTGTATGTAGTGGACTTATTATAATGGTTTCATAAGCAAGGTATGATTTAATGCCACATGGTCTTAATATTTTTTGCTGTTGTTATCCTTGTTCTGTTATCTTTTTAGTTTTTTAAAAAATTTTTATTTTTTGAGTTAGAGTCTCACTCTGTTGCCCAGGCTGGAGTGCAGCGGCATACTCACAGCCACCACAGCCTCGACCTGCTGGGCTCAGATGCTCCTTCTGCCTTAGCCTTCTAAGTGGCTGGAACTATAGGCACATAGTCCTGGCTAATATTTTGATTTATTGTAGAGACGCAGTCTTACCAAGTTGCCCAGGCTGGTTTCGAACCTCTGGACTTAGGCAGTCCTTTTGCCTTGGCCTCCCAAAGTGCTGGGATTACACAGACTTGAGCCACCACGCCCGGCCTTGTTATCTTTTTAAGGTTTTGAGTCAGGTTTTCACTCTGTCACCCAGGATGGATTGCAGTGGCACAATCATGACTCATTGCAGCCTTGACCTCCTGGGCTCAGGTGATCCTTTCACCTTAACCTCTTAAGTAGCTGGAA